TGGCTTAAACTCATGCCAGGCACGTGTGCATGTGTGTCCAGGATCCCAAGAGGAGAATGGAGGAGAAGGGACTGCGGCATGACCATCCACCCTGGGGGGTGATTTCTCTCTTTCTGTCTCTATGTCTCTGTCTGTCTGGCGAGCGCACGTGCTCTACAGTGAAAATCTCTCCAAAAAAAAAAAAAAAGAAAAATCTGAGGCCAGCAAGTGGCATGGTAGTTAAGAGCGCTGGACTACCACATGGCCGACCGCAGTTCGAGTCCCAGACCCAGGGGCCTGCTTTCTTACTTTTTCTCTGTTTGTCCCTCTCTGGTCAAATTAAAATGAATAAGTCAATAAAAGCTGAATAAAAATAATTCTTTAAAGGGACCAGCAGTTGGTATAATGGCTATGTTGCTGGACTTCCATATAGTTGACCACGGTTCAAATCCTGGGCCCGGTGGGTTAAACTCACACTAGGCATGTGTGCACGTGTACCCAAGATCCCGAGGGGAGATGCCCAAGATCCCAAGAGGAGAATGGAGGAGAAGGGATTGCGGCGTGACCATCCCCCCTGGGGGGTGATTTCTCGCTTTCTGTCTCACGCGCCCTATAGTGAAAACCTCTCAAAAAAAAAAAAAAAAAAAAAATCTGTGGGGAGTAGGAGCATCAAGCAATAGCTCTAAATAAAGTTAATTCTGAATTATAAGTTCCTTTACCATATAACATACTAAATGCTAGTTTGGATCACAAATGAAAATAATGATTAGAGTTTTATTTAATTTTTATTATTACTTTTTAAAAAAACATTATTTTAAGAATTTATTATTTTTTGGGACCAGCAGTTAGGGTAATGGCTATGTCGCTGGACTCCCACGTAGTCGACCACGGTTCACGTCCCGGACCCAGTGGCTTAAAACTCAATGCTGGGCACGGGTGTGTGCGTGCCCAAGATCCTGAGAGGAGGATGGAGGAGAAGGGATTGCGGTGTGGCCATCCCCCCTAGGGGGTGATTTCTTGCTTTCTGTCTCTCTGCCTCTGTCTGTCTGGTGAGTGCACGCGCCCTATAGCAAAAAAAACTCTCCAAAAAAAAAAAAAAAAGAAAAAAAATTATTTTTTAAAAATCTGATCAGAGGGAAAAAGAGAGAGAAAGAGGGAAAATGAGAAAGCAAGCTGCCAGGTTTGAGACTTGAACCATGGTAGGCCTTGTGGGAGTCTGGCACCTTAACCATTATGCCACCTGTTGGCTCCATGACTAAAGTTAAAAAAAAAAACAAATGGTTTACATTTTGATAACAGATTTGGTTAAACATGTGTATGCATTATATTCAAATTTTATATCAAAGAAAAAACTATAAAGAGATATTAAACTTTAGCTAGTGATCTGCATGCTAAAATATTTACAGGGAAGTATATTGATGTTTTTTCCAATTTACTTTGAAATGCATGTAATGAAATGAAGTATAAGAAAGATGTGCAATCAAGTGGATACAGTACAACAGTTAACTTTTTAGTAGTACTTGGGTGGTGGGTTTATAGGTGATCAATGTAAAATATTTCAACTTTCTGTATGTTTGAAAATTTTTCATTAAATGTTTAAAAGCTAAAATGATATCAAGAATCCTGGCCAGGGCCAGCAAGTGGTGTGGTGGTTAAGGTGCTGGATTCCCACACGGCCAACCACAGTTTGGGTCTTGGAACTGGCAACTTGAAAATCAGTACCAGGCACTTCCACGTCCCATGTTCAAAATTCTGAGACAAGAACAGAGGAGAAGGAACTGTGGCATGGCCATCCCCCTGGGGGGTGATTTCTCTCTCTCTCTCTCTCTCTGGTGAGCGCACATGCCCTATGGCAAAAAAAAAAAAAAAAACCTGGCCAATTCTTGTTTCATTTTAAGAATATATATACTGTGTAAGATTAAAGATATGGAGGATCTGTTTATTTTTGTGAGAAAGCCAACATAAGAGTTATAACATAAGACAGGAGTTTAATACAGAATTCAAATTAGCTCAGACTGATAGATCCCACTGAAGTATAAATATATTCAGAAATCTTATTGATCCTCCCCCAAAACCTCCCCGCAGTCTTTATTATTAGTTGCCTGACAAAGTACATTCTTCCCATAAAGAAAAAAAAAAAAAGTACTGTATTTTCAGATAGTGAATGTAAAACAAAAGCCCCAAACTTGCCTTTGCTTCATCTTGACTGGCAAGCAGGCTGCTACTGGGGTTTATAACAATTCTATCTTCTCTCTTTGGATAATCTGGATTTTCCAGAAGAAAATTACAAAGTCTGCAAAAGGAAATGTGGTTACTTTTATACTGCTTCCAAACTCCTTATCTGTTCACTGATTCAAATGCAGTATTTGAGAAATAAAATCCCTAGTTACAAATTACAAATTACTGGCCGATCAAGATATTAAGATGTCTGCAGCCACGAAAAACTAAACAATTCAATAAACAAGAAACAATTACACTGGGGGAACCAACAGATGCTGTTATGGTTACATCGCTGGACTCCCACATAGTTGACCATGGTTCGAGTCCTGAGTTCAGTGGTTTCAAACTGATGCTGGGTGCACGTGGGTGCGTGTGCAAAATCCCGAGAGGAGAATGGAGAAGGGATTGTGGCATGGCCATCCCCTCTTGGGGGTGATTTCTCGCTTTCTGTCTCCCTGTCTCAGAGTTTCTGTCTCTCTGGCAAGCATATGTACCCTATAGCAAAAATCTCACTAATAAATAAAAATTTAAAAACTACAATGAATTTCTATTTTTGTTTGCTAGCCTAAAAAGCAATGTACATTCTTTTCTTAAAAAAAGAATTATTTATTTATTCACTCATTCATTTATTCTAATTTGACCAGAGAGAGACACACAGAGAAAGTGAGAAAGCAAGTCACCAGGTCTGGGACTCGAACTGTAGTGGGCCACGTGGGAGTGTCCAGTGCTTCAACCACACCACCTGCTAGTCTCGTTCTTTTTCTTAAGAGAGGTTTTTAAGAAAAAAAACCTCTGTGTGCTTGGCAGAGAGACAGAAAGTGAGAAATCACTTCCCAAGGGGGATGGCCACCACACCACAATGCCTTCTCCTCCATTCTCCTCTTGGGATTTTGGGCACACATACTCACATGCCCAACCTGAGTTATAAGCTGCCAAGTCCAGGACTTTAACCTCAGTCGACTACATGGGAGTCCAGCAATGTAACCATTACGCCATCTGCTGGTACCAAAAGCAATGTACACGCTAATCGATGTAAATTCCTCTTAACTTTCCCTATGGGGTAGGTTTCAATGTAATTAAGTCACAGAAATTATTACTGGTTAAACTACATGGAGAATTTATAAGAAAAGTAGCTGTTTGCTAAGAAAACTATCAACAAATAAAAGGTGGGGAAATGTGTATTCACATTTTTCATCTAAAAGTTATTTTTGCTGAAAGAGTTCATAAATAGGGAAAAAAAACAGCAGGAAGATAAAGGTGCTGGATCCCACATGGCCACCTGCTAGGTTCTGATCTGGAGGCTTGGAAAATCACACTGTGCATATATGTGTGCTCCAAATTCCAAGGAAATGAGAAGGGATTGTGGCAGCCATTCCCTTGCTTTCTCTCTCCCTGGCAAGTGCACGCGCCCTACAGAAGAATTAAAGAGTTAGTAAAAAATGGACATTTGTTGATTCGTTAATACTTTTTGGTACCTATAGTAATTTAAGTATGTATGAGCCAACTGAGTTGTACTCAGTTTACTTAGTTATTAACTAAAGTACTGATGAACAGACCACATTTTCTTTGAGAGAGATTTCTGCTATAGGGAGTGTGCACTCGCTGGAGAGACAGAGACAGTAGTGAGAAATCACTCCCCTCCCCAGCAGGGATGATCACACTGCAACCCCTTCTCCTTCATTCTCTTGGGATTCTGGGCACGCACACAACATGCACCTGGCATGAGTTTTAAGCCATTGGGGCTGGGACTTGAACTATGGTCAACTACATGGGAGTTCAGTGATGTAACCATTATGCCATCTGCTGGTCCCCAGACCATGTTTTCTTATGAACAAATTCTCTTTACACCAAAACCATTACCTTGTCTATTATGACGTACTTCAAAAAGATAGAAACAGATAATGCTGATGTATCACCACTGACTTAACACAAGTTAACTACTCGGGAACCAGCAGTTAGCGTAATGGCTATGTCGTAGTCGACTGCGGTTCGTGGCTTAAAACTCACGCTGGGCGCATGTGTGTGCGTGCCCAAGATCCCGAGAGGAGAATGGAGGAGAAGGGATTGCGGCGTGACCATCCCCCCTGGGGGGTGATTTCTCGCTTTCTGTCTCTATGTCTCTATCTGTCTGTCTGGCGAGCGCACGTGCCCTATAGTGAAAATCTCTCCAAAAAAAAAAAAAGTTAACTACTCAGGCTCTTCACCCTATAACACTGTTAAATCAGTCACCCACCTAAACCTGGGATGCCTTCACAGTAGTGAGAACAGCATAGGTGGGGTACTATAGTAGGCAAACTCAAGAAAGCTGCTTAACTAAGGGGGCAACTGGGTACTCTTTTTATCTTCCTTCTTTCCTTTGCTCCTGCATCACAGCATGACTCAACCCCCTCCTTCTGACTCCCATCTTCCCAGTTCTCTCTTGTCCAATGTCAACAATGGGGCCTATAGTAGTAAGGTCCAGCAGGAAGAGGGTAGAGGAAAATGCCCATTCCCATTCCTTTTCTCACCTGGGAGCTAATGATTGGAGACTGGAAAATGGAGAGGCATGCATATGCTGCAACTCCACCAAAGTTCTCAGCCTGGGCCCTTTCACAAAGCCTTCTCTCTTCCTGTGCCCAGTGGTGGGTAACATCTCCATAACCCCTCTTTTCACCATATCAAGGAGTCTCATGTGCTTCATGTCTGTAAATTCTCCTCTGCCTATCACCATAGCCTGTAAAGTCTACAGCACACAGTGCTAGAGACCAGAGAGGGAAAAACTCTTTTCCTATTACTGTTATAGCAAAAGGAGAGACACTCCTAGTCAGGAATTCTGAACACATTTTCCTTTAAAACCACTGTCATTCATAATGATTCTTTGCCCTGGAATAATCTAGTGTGCACTATAAGTTAATATAGATCTCTGAAGGCGGATCTGAGAATTAGCCACCATTAAGAATCCTGTAGCTGTGGGAAAAGGCTTGGAGTTTCAAACAACTTCTTATAAGTACATGACCAAAGTAATCACAAACCATTTATGGGATAGCTCCTGTCTTTCAAATTGCTTTGCAATTTTCTGGTAACGGTGGCTACCAAGGCTAATAAATTTTTTTTAAAAGAATTATTGTATTTAATTTTATTCATTGTTATTATTTTACTTTATTTTTTTGAAGTTGACCAGAGACAGAGAAGGAAAGTGAGAAAGCAAGCTGCCAGGTCCAGAATTGGAACCACAGTCAGTCATGTGGGAGTCCAGCTGCCTTAACCACCACGCCACCTGTTGGCCTCCAAGGCTAATAAACTGTTGGATACCAGAATTTGGGAAAAATAAAAAGGTCACATAAAAAAGAATGATCTTTGATAGAACGGCCACTCATGAGTCAAGTCAGTGGTGTTCTAGTGGGACACATGGAAGATTTCTATTTTTAAAAATCTTATCCTTTGGGACCAGCAGGTGACATGGTGGTTAAGGTACTGGACACTCCCATATGGCCGACCACGGTTCGTGTCCCGGACCTGGTGGCTTTCTTTCTCACTTTTCCTCTCTTTCCTTCTCTATGTCTCTCTCTGGTCAAATTAAAATAAATGAGTGAATAAATAAAATTAAATAAATAATAAAACAAAATCTTATCCTTGAGGCTGGGCCAGCCGGTGGCATGGTAGTTAAGGGCACTGGACTCCCACATGGCTGACCATGGTTTAAGTCCTGAACCTGGCAACATGCTTTCTCACTTTCCCTCTCTGTCTGTCTCTCTCCGTCCCTCTTTGGTCAAATTAAATAAATTAATAATAAAGCAAAATAAAATAATTAAAAAAAAATCTTATCCTTTAGGGCAGCTCCACAGCCTACTAATTAAAGGAGACAGATTCACATGGCCAACAGCTACATGGCCGACAGCTACATGGCTGATAGCTTTTTGAGTCTCAGACCCAGGAGCTTGAAAAACACACTGGGCATGTGTGCCTTAAATCCTGACAAGATGGAGAAACAGAGAAGGGATTGTAGTGTGACCATGCCTCACAGGCAAGTTTTTTTTTTTCTCTCTCTCCCTCTGGAGAGCACCTGCGCCCTTTGGCAACTGAAAAAAAAAAAGAAACTTAATCCTTTAAAATCTTCTACTTTTGGGGCCAGCAGGTGGCATGGTGGTTAAGGGCAATGGATTCCCACATGGCTAAATGCAGTTCAAATCCTGGACCTAGAGGCTTGCTCTTTTGTTCTCTTACTTTTTCTCTCTGTCCTTCTCTGGTAAAATAAAAATAAATAAAGTTAAATACCATAATTCTTTTCCCCAATTTATTTTTTATTATCAACAATATTAAGAACTACATTTGAGCTGTGACCAAACCTTTTCAAGGGCTAAGACAACTAAAGAATTTCTGCTCAGACTTCACCCTCCAGAACCCAAGATCCACCAGCCTGGTAGGGTACCCTCTGTATTCTTCTCTCTGTCTCTCCCTATTTCTGCCTGTCACTCTTTAATTTTTGTTTTTTTAATTTTTAATGAAAAGCACTGATTAGCTGTCTTTCTCCTTTATCTTGCTAATTCTCACCTTTCTCCACTCTCAGATAGGAAGCACAGGCCCTTGAAAAGTCATCTACATTTGAGCTGTGACCTTTCTTTCACACAGTGCAGATGCACGCCAAGCAGTTTCCATTTTGTTTTTGCCTTTTTCTCTTTTATTTCTTCTTTTTCTTATTCTTTGTTTCCTTTTCTTTCCCTTTTTCTTTTACCTTTATAACTTTGCTGCTCAGCCTTCCACACACTGATTGTCTAGATAGGTTTAGGTGCACAGGAGCCAAACATCTGATTACTATTAGGGTCAAAATAATCCTCAATTCCCACTGAATCTGCTACACAAAGGGAGAAAAACAGAACTGCAGAGAGATTGTAGATCACCTCCTCCTGCCCACCTCTGAATGCTTAGATTTACCTACAAGAAATTAGGAAGAAACATATAATTCATTAGATGACCAAAAACCACCACAGAGGTGTAAGAAATATGAGAAACAAAGAAAATATCTCCCCCACAAGGGAAAAGAACAGTAACTCATGCACAGATTGTACAATGGAACTCGTGGAAATGTCAGATAAA